AGGAAGGAAGGAAGGAAGGAAGGAAGGAAGGAAGGAAGGAAGGAAGGCAAAGAGTGAAGAAGGTACAGCTGATGCTCATTACTGACCTACCTTGCAAGGATACCAAGAGTGGGAAATATATTCACCAATAAAAACCACGAGACAAAGACCAAAACCCAATGGAAACATTACTTTCTAGGTCTGTGCCTATGGAAAAGGCAAAGTACATTTAGATAAAGGCACAACAGTTTGGGGAGGAAAAGAACAAAATGACAAAAAAAAAAAAAAAAAACAAAAAAAAAAAAAAAAAAACACACACTTGACTGTATTCTTAAAATTTATAAGAAATTTTATTTTTTTTTCATTTAAAAAAATGTGAATACAGGCTACTGAACAACAACTGTAACCAATCAAGACCCACCTGCCCTGATTCTGGAGTCTTTAGGAAATAAAAATTGTCAGTTAAGAAAAGAAAACGACGCACCGGTGCCCTGAAGTGAGGTAGGTGCCTCCTCGGCCATCACTACCACCTGCAGTTACTACGGGAGAGAAACAACTCCCTTTCCTGCTCCAGGCAGCACATTATGTCTTCATTGGAGAACTGTAGATAGAAACAGGGCCCTGGTTTGGGTTCCTAAGCCCTACAGATCTTCATGTCAGGTTCAGTTTGAGTATTCTTACTGACGGAAAAAAAAAAATAAAATAAAATAAAAATCTCACTTTCATTGGCATTTGTGTGTTGCTGCTTCAAATTCAACCCCTCAATTACCAAGCTAAGTGAGAGCAGGAATTTTTTTTTTTTCTGCTTGTCTGTCTCTTGCCTGGCATCCAATCCCTGCTGTTACAGCTTCAATTATCAATTTGTTGTATTGCAGTAATTCATGGATCTTAAAAGGTCATGAATTTAAAGGAAAAAAAAAAAGGCAATACCAACCTGCATTAATGTTTACTTAAAAATCTTAGACAGCATAACGTATTCTTCTCGATCTTTGCAAATTTAAACCAAACCAAAACAGAACAGGTTCGGAGGTCATTCACAGACCCCGAGCCACGGTTTTCAAGCATTTTCAAGCATGCGTTCAATGTCTGTAGTAGATTCAGAGTTGTACAGCCACCCCCACAAACTAAGACTAGAACATTTTCATCAAACCCTCCAAAAGAAATCCTGTGCCCCTTAACAGTCACTCTCCAGCCTGTCCTCCCCTAGCACCTGGAGAGCAATTCCTCTGTCTCCACGACTGGCTGAACATTTCACGTAAATGGAATCATACAAGATTTGGTGTTTTATCACTTACTTCATCTGTAAGACTTTAAAGGCCTGCTATTCAACCCTGGCATATTTCAGAGAATTTTTTTCCTAACCCTTTCGACAATCCAAACATATGACATTTTAAACTTCCAAGTCCTGAACCCCCAGCTTTCTGTCCCTCCACAAAGCACAGTTGACTTGCTACTTCCCTGAAGAAAAACCTAAACTGTAATTTACTAGTTAGATTCTTCCAAAAGTTCTTATTCTGGATTCTCCTTCTGGTAGGTAATAAAGCACTATCTTCTTTAAACACCAACATTTCACATACCTCCCTTCCTCTGACAACGGGATGTTGCCGGCCACAATAACTCTAAAGTGCATGCTGATTCTCAAAACAGAGAACAGCCGCAGATGATCCAGCTGCCACTCAAAACTCCCCACCTCCCCTGTGTGGGTCTGCTGACTCTCCGGCTACAACGCAAACATAACGCAAACATGTCTGCAGGGCTGCCTTTGCTTCAAGAAACATCCACCGTCCCAAGCTAAGGAGCAAAACACCCCACTGCTGTCCACACTCCAAAGAACCACCAATCCCTACATCTAACACCGGCAAGTGAACCAGCGTGCCTCAAAGACTGCCTCTGCTGGCTCGGAGGGGCTTACTCCTGAGTTACGTGGTCTAGCACCACCGCTCAGGCTTAAACGCTGTGAACACGCTGCCTTCAGCAGGCCCGAACCGGGATCCTGGGTGCTTCCTAGCCATCCATCACATTTAAAGGAACTGACCATCATAAAAGAAGCCTCAGGAAGCGCTTGGTCATCAAGGGATTAAAAACAATACATAGTAAAGTACCCTTCTCCTGCAGCCCTCCTTCTGCACAAAAAAAAAAAAAAAAAATCCTTCGTGAAGACCCAGCCCCATCCTTTCCTGTTGCCGGCCATCGCTGCTGCTTTGCATTTCAAAACTTCTACTATTAAATAACAAAAGTAGAGAAAGTACACAGTACAATAGGATGCCATGGTCAAATGGACTCGTTCTTAGTGATTTCTAAACCATATTTAGTCCTTAAAGGCTTGTAATCCTCCCTCCCCTCCACCCCCCTCCCCAAACACAGTCTAAGCGCCTGAGCAGAAAGGAGCCAGAAGCCTTTCGCCCAATCCAGTGTGCTCAAAGTTTGAAAAACAAAGGACAGGAGAGCCCAGATTTGTGGGGTCGGCCCAGTCTGCGCCTTACTCTAGGCAGTAAATACCTACAGTTCTTTAAAGATCTGCTCTACTCCACCGCAGACGGTTCTTAAAAGAGGTTCAAGGGTTTGTTTATAGAAACAGCCTTTGTGAACCGCCCAAGCGGTGGGCCGCACGCTCCACGCAGCCTCCACCGTCCCCCCACCTCGCTAACTCCTCAAGGCTAGGTCGTGATTTCTCGAAGTTAATGGGCACCACCTGCATACATTCTGCAAACATTACTCATCTGCACGCCCTCACTTCCCCAGCCCCAACTCGAAGACTGCATTTAAACTTTTAATCGTGTTCAAATTACTCTACCATCTCAAAAGCACCAGTATGCCACACTTTTTTTTTTCTCGAGAACAAAACCCCCTCCTCCTCCTCCCCCCCTACACCCGGGGGGGGGCCCCCCCCCCCCGCCCCCCCCCCCCCCCCCCCCCCCGCATACACACCTACTCCTACCCGACACCATCAAAACAAAAGCTATCAGATTGCAAGCGATAGCGAGCGTGGAGCGATACTGCTTATTAAGTGAGTACAAAGGAAGTGCGGGGCGGGGGTTTGGCAGTGCAACACAACTCTGGCCACAACAAAACCAAGGCCAGGGCTCCGCGCTCGCAAAACAAAACAACCACCCCTCCACTACCGCACTCCGGATCCTGACGGAGCTCAAACCACCGCACGCGACACCTCTCGCCCAGGCCAGGAGGCCAGGTGTCCCCTCGTGGCCGTGTGGCTGTGGATGCACCTAAATCCGCGCCGAGAGCACGTGTGTGTGGAAAGGCACGTCGGCTCTGCACATGGGCTGGCGTCCCTACCACCTCTTACTTAAACACTTCTAGGAAGAAGCGTCCAGGGCTGCGTAGAAACTGAGAGTTTTGCCCAAGGACCCCCCAAGCTGGGGATCCAATCCCCCCCACTCCCAGCACCCACCCCCAAGAGAAGTCTGAAGGTCCTAAGCTCACACTTATCTAGGGAAAACACACCTCGCACCCCGAGGGCCACCCCGGGTGGCCCCGAAGCACTAAGCCGTGGGGGAAAGAGGGACTAGACGCCCACAGGCTCCTGAGATGCGAAAGGCCAAGAACCCGAGGGGCCTGATGGGCCAAACAAGTTGGGCGACTGGAGGCCGCGCGGCGGTGTTTGGAAACGTGTCCTGGGGCCGCGAGGCCTCCCCACCCCGCACCTCCCCCTCAGAGACAACTTGCACCCCGCGGGGCGGGAGGCTCCCGCTCGCTGCCACGGCGCACTAGGTCCACCCCAGCAGCCACCCGCCGAGAGCCTCCAAGGGTGCTGTCACCATGGTGCGCCGCGCGGGACGGGAGCTGGGTGCGGAGCGGCGCGCCAGGATGGCGGAGGGGGGGACGGACACGAGGGTGGCGGGGACCCTGGGTCCCACCCGGAGGCCAACTTCCCCGGCAAGTGCCCACGCGCGGGCTGCCCGGGAACCGCAGGGGGGCGAGCGCTGCCCACCCACCAGGCCGCGCGCGGGACAGCGCTCCCGGGACAGCGAAAGAGAAAGCCCCGAGGCCCCTTCCGCGCGCGGATGCCCTGAGCTGGGGCCTGTGGGGCTCCGGAGCCCTGAACTCGGGCCCCGGTCCTCCCCGGCCTTCCGGGAGAGCCCCACCCTCCCTCTGCTCCCCGGCCCCGGACTCCGACAGCTGCGCCCGTGGCAACTGAGTTTTCCCCGAACAGGGCGCAGCCCCTCGGAGGAAAAGTTCCCGCAGTGGCCGCGGGCGGCGGGCGAAATACTCACTTTCTCCACTCGTCGGCCAGAGCGAGAGCGCGGCGGAGAGAAACACGAGCCCCCACAGCGAGGTCGGGGACCCTCCTCCGGAGCCAGACTTCATTCCTTTTATTTGGGACGAAATTCCCTTTTCCCAAAAAAAATAAAAAAATAAAAATAAAAAAAAAAAGAAAAAGAAAAAGAAAAAAAGTCTCCAACTCAGTCCTCACTCTCGTCCGAACGGCAGAAGCGCAGGCGACGGTCCTCGGAAGGCGGCGTGGACAGGGCGGGTGGTGTGGGGCGGCCCCTCAGCGCCGGCAGCAGCGGCCCACGGCGCGGCGGAGTCGGGAAGCCGGGGCGCGCCGGGGCGGGCTGTCGGCGTCGTCGGCCTCCATTTGCAAACCCAGAGATGCAGGAGAGGGGGGAAAAACTGTACAGAGAGAGGAGCGGAGCCCAGATCGCCGCGGGCGGGGACAAACGTGTCCCCCCACTCCCCCGGAGGGAGCGACCGCCCGAGCCTCCGCGGCAGGAGAGCGCGACGCAGTTGGCGAGACTGGTCCGAAGTCCCGGGCGCGGGCGAGGCCGGCGAGGGGCAGAAATGCGGAGTGGAAATGAATGAGCGGCTCCCCCTCCTCCGGCTCCTCCTCCTCCTCCTCCTCCTCCTCCTCCGGGCTCCGCTCGCCGCCGCCTCCTCCCTCAGCGCCGCCGCCGCCGCCGCCGCCGCCGCCGCGAGCTCCTTCCCAAATCCAGGACACACACAAAGCGGCGGCCGCGCACCACTCGGCACTCCCGCCGCCCCGCGTCGGCCCCCACCCGCCGCCGACTCCGTGCGCGGGGGCCCCGGCTCGCTGAAGGTCAAAGCCGAGCACGCCGCGCGCCGTGGAGCCCTCGCAGGCACGGGAGAGGCGTGGAGGGTCCGGGGAGCGGGGCCGAGGGTCTGCGAGCGCCGGGCGCGCCGGGACAGGCTCGCTGGCTGCTTCCCCGTCGCTCGCCTCTCTCCAGTTCGCCCGGTGCGCTCGCTCCTCCTCGGTTCCCCCCCTCCTCCTCCTTTTTTTTTTTTTTTTTTTTTTTTTTTTTTTCCGCTCAGCGGAGTTAATGCTGGTAAACA